GTTCCTACTCTGGAGAGTAGAACCGTGGGGTTTCTGTTAATTCTGGAATTTGGATGATTGGCTGTCTGGTTTCTATTGCTGGCTTAGCTGCATTCCCCAGGAGCGGCACCAAGGTGCATGCCCCACCCAACATCTCTCTTCATCCCTCTGGCCCTGTGTCATTCTCTTCCCAATCCCACTAGCTCAACATACACCCTTAACAACTTAGAAGGTTCACTCTTTCTTTTTTTTTTTTTAATTTTAAGACAGAATTCAGTCTTTACAAGCAAATTCATTTTGATAAATGTGGGTGGGAGGAAATCTGCTTGTGCTTGCAGAGATATTAGGTTGGTGGAGCAGAGGAAGGAGCTACTTCAGGTGAACTACAGACTCCAAAGCCAGAATGAACCTGTAGCCAATTGGATGATAATTGTGTCATTTATTACCTTATTGTCTAAATCATGTCATTTGAGTTTCCTGACTCTTAATCCAAGAAATCTCGTCTTGGTGCTCAGGTGGTAAATTATTTATTCACCTTTCTTACTTTTTCATTAACCTCATCTCCCTGTGGGAACATGGCTGCTGCTAGCAACTTGCCCCAGACAGAGCTTGGTGGAGCATGGCCAGCAGAGGGTAACCCTGCCCTTCCAGGAATTTCAAGCCCTGCTGACTAGTTCAGTGATACAATGCTGGAGTATAGGTAAGAGCCCAGGCTTTAGAACCATAGAGTTCAGGTTCAAATCCTAGCTCTGCCTCTTCCAAATCACGACTCCTTGAGTGATATTTTATTTGCTTTGATTCAGTTCTCTTATCTGTAATACCTGGCTATGTGTTTTGCATGCATTATGTTTTTTTTTATAAATTTAGAAGAGTTTCTGGTACACAGTAAATGCTTTATAAGGGTTTGCTTTGTTGTTGTGATGGTTATTGGTAGATGAAGTGGTTATTGGTGAGAGGGATTGGTTAAAAGCGAAGAGATACATTGAAAACCTTCCTTTCATTTTCATTGATCTTCCTTGGTTTTAATTCATCATGAATTTCTTGATTGGAGTCTGGCCTGAGGTTGAGGATTCATATATAAGACCAGACTGACAAGATGACACATCAGTAGCACACTGCTCAGCATTGCTGAATCCATTTGGGAAACTGGATTTGGTTTCCATCAACCTGTACACACCCACAACCTCCTGGCTGGCTGGGAAGACTGGGAAGGGGAATGTGGATTGTGGCAGGAGACCTGTTGTGTGTGTGTGTGTCTCTCTCATGAAGTAAATTAATTAAAATAAACAAAAGACGATAGATAGATAGATAGATAGATAGATAGATAGATAGATAGATAGATAGATAGATAGATATAGGTAGATAGATAGAAGACAGGTAGAAGACAAACAGATGATAGACAATATTGTTCTATCATCCAGAGGCTTACTTTCTTCTTGAGAAGCTGGACACATTAACAGTCAAATCCAATAAAATGTGTCATCTGCCTAAGTGAATGAATGCAAAGTATTATGGAGATCTCATTCAGAAGGGGACATTGGGTGTCAAACTCCACCGAAGATGAGTAAGATTGGAGGAGGCAAACTGAGAGAGGAGTGGAAATCAGGATGAGAGTGCAGCATGAGCACAGCATGGTGCAGGGCAGCCATGAGCTTTTCCGGATCACAGCAGAGAGGTCAGGGGAGGGGCACGAGTCGTGTATGGGTGCCAGGTAGTCTCAGATTTTACCTTGATTTTTTTCCATGAAAACATGGGATCTCACAGTTTTGAATCTCAAGATATTAAAATTTAGATAAATGGTACTTTAAGACCCCCATAAAGAGCTTTTGGACAAATAGCAGATTATACCGGTTGGTTATAATTAGGAGGTAAGAACTTTACACTAAGGAAGAAGTCCATTCCCAACATGGACCTGCTTTGAACTTGGAGAGTGGATTCTGGGTGACCTGCTTATCTATTGTGACCCAACAAACTATCCCAGAACATAGTGGTCTAAAACACAAACATATTATGTTTCATGGTTCTGTGAGCTGACTTGGCTCAGCGAGATTCTCATCGAGGGCTGATCACAAGATTGCAGTTGGCTGGGCTGCTGGGCTCCTGAAGGTTCCACAAGGCTGGATATCTCAGATGGCTTACTCACATGCCTGGGAGCTGATGGTGGATGTTGCCGGCAGGTGGGTTGGGCTGTTTACCACAGGCTCCCAGGTTTCTTAGCTATCTCACAGCATGATAACTGAGTCCAAAAAGGGGAGTTCCCATAGATAAGCAAGCCAAGCTGCCCAAGCAGAGCTTGAAGGAAGTCACAGAATCACTTTCACATCTTTTGGTTCAAAGCAGTCATAGGGCTCACCCAAGATTTCAAAGTGGCAGAAAAATATACTCTACCTCTTGATGGGGGAGGAAAGAACC